ATTTCCCAAATGATGTTAAACAGATTCAGGAATTGTTCACAGTATTTCCTCTAAGATTTGTTCTTCTGGAGAAAGTCTTATTTGTTTTATTTCTGCTATAATAAAAGCAGTTTTTAATAGCTTTAACACCATTTAAGCTCAATATTATTGGCTCCTTCAGCAATATCAGTGTTGGATTGTCTCCAGAACAAACCACTGTTATACAATGACTTGCCTAATTCCCTAACTTTACCCTAATTACCCTAGTGAAGCCTTTACATGTCACTGTAAGCTGAACACTAGTGTCTTGAAGAATATCTCGTCTAATATTATGTGCTGTCATCATGACAAAGACAAAATAAATCAGTTATTAGAGTTATTAAAACTATTATGATAGGAAATGTGTTGAAGAAATCTCAGAAATTGTATATAAATTATATAAAAATATAAAATAATTCCAATTTTAGAGGAGGGCCAATAACTCTGGCCTCATCTGTATATGTGGTCATATTGCACAGCTCTGTCTCCTGAATGTACGACTCGACGTCTGTTTCACATGAATGTGCAGTGGGTTCATTATGTGTTATGGTTGATGAACATTGTTGATTATGCAAATGCTCTCAGCTAGAAAATGCTTTATTTTTCATATTGCATGATAGTCTAATGGCGAAATCTCTTCCTGTTTAAATACAAAATGTGTTGTCTGATGTTGAGGCTGTGGCTGATGGTGACGTGTGGAATAAAACACTGTCAATATTGTCTGTGTGTGTCTGATTTATTTAACAGAGTCTGGAAATCAAAATCTCAATATCTGCGAATCACATCACCAATGCAAGGGTTCAAATGTAATATGTGCTTGTACTGTCTCTTTAAGATGGGCGGCACGGTGGCTCAGTGGTTAGCACCATCGCCTTACAGCAAGAAGGTCGCTGGTTCAAGTCCCGGATGGGTTAGTTGGTGTTTCTGTGTGGAGTTTGCATGTTCTCCCCGTGTTTCCTCCAGGTGCTCTGGTTTCCCCCACAGTCCAAACACATGCACTATAGGGGAATTGATCAACTAAACTGGCCGTAGTGTATGAGTGTGTGAATGAGTGTGTATG